CCGTGTCTGTGGGCGTCAGCTGCACGTCAGCCTCCGGCCGCGACGGGTCAGGACCTGCACACGGCCTCGGGCTCAGGTCTGGACACGAGCGCGACCCCAGCACCGTCCACGTCACCGAGGGGCCCACACGCCCCTCCTGCTCGTCCGAACGCTGCTCCTTCCTTGCCAATCGCAGCCCCAGGCTCCCCTCTTTCTCGAGAAGATTATTACTAGTAAGATGCCCAGCCAAGCCCTGGCTGGTGTGACCAGTGGTTAGAGCCTGGGCCTGTGCACCGAAGGGTTGCGGGTTCGATTCTCGGTTGAGGGCATGTACCTGGGTTGCCGGTTCGCTTGTGCAGGAGGCAACCAATCAGTGTGTCTCTCTCACATCAATGTTCCTCTCTCTCTCTCTCTCTCTCTCACCCCCTCACCCCACCCCCTTCTACTCTCTTGGAAAAAGCAATGGAAAAAAATATATCCTCAGGTGAGGATTTCCAACAACAAAAAGATGCCCAACCCTGGACTTCCTCTCCTCCTGCCAGAACCGGCTTGGGCACAGCCGCAGCCCCTCACACCAGCCCCGCCCCGCAAGCCCCTCGAACCCCCTCTTGCTGGCTGCAGCCGCCTCCCCTGCACCCGGTCTCAAACCCAGCAGCTGCGCTCCCACCGCCCTCCCGCTGCGAGGCACGGGCCGCAGGACTCGGTCCGACAGCCTCCTGCTGCTCCGATCCCGGTTACTCCCCGGGAATAAGTGAACTCCTCCGTGTGGAATTCCTCCTCCTTTTCTGCCTTTTCTCACCTGAGCTTCTCGGTTAAAGCCAGCAAGTGCCCTGGTAGCAGTTGTGTGTCACCGGGAGCACAGCCGTCCTCGGGACCAAACGATAAAAAGGAGATCACAAGAGAAAGGCTGAACGGTAGCAGACACAGCAGCTGAGGATTAGAGAGAGCCCCAGGTGGCGGGCTGGGTAACAGTGCAACATGCCAGGCCCCTGTGAGAGCCCTTTACACGCTCACCGACCGTCGCCAGGGCTCTGTCGCAGAGCAGGCGTTTCCATGCCCATTCTGCGGATGAGGAAACAGGCTCGGAGCCCCGTGACCTTCCTGGCAGCCTCCACCCACCAAGCACCGGTGCTGGCATCCAAACTCAAGTCGCCAAAGAGCAGGTGTTTCTACCACAGACACAGGGACAACGCGGACATTCATGAATGAAGCAAGCCACCATGTTTCCCAAGCTCCGGGTCTCTGGCTGTCCCCCTACGTGTCGGAATAAGGAAGCACCTTTTCAGAAAATATTAATGTTCGGTCCGTTATGAAGAAACCCTGATTGAGGGCCTGTTTCCGATGGGGCTGAGGCCACTTCCTCGGGAAGAGCATGAAATCAGCACAACGAGCACAGAAGCAATTTGCACAGGAATGCGCACGCGTCTTTCCTGAAGGAGGGATTCCGCGTGGAACGGAGAGGTCACGCGCCACTTGCGACCGGACGGCGAGGCCAAGAGCAGAGAGGGAGTGACGCGGGGGACGTTCCACTCACGCACACCTCGGGCTCAGGATGGGCGCTGTGCTCGGGCTTCCTGCCTCCGGGAGCTTGGGAAAGAGCTTCGGTGCTGGGGGCTCTTTGAAACAGTCGGTCACCTGGCTCCTAATAAAACCTCCTCAGACCTGAGCGGGAGGAGAGGAGGGGCCGACCGGTGTCAGGGGAAACGGGCTGTCGCAGCGGCACGAGGGGATCCGAACTGCCCGTACTTGTGTGCGCAGAAGCACGCGGCCCAAGACTGGCTCCGGTTTCCCCGGAGCAGGCCTTGCAGTTCGGCGGGATCGGAGGGAAGGAGGTCGTGCTTGGGAAAGAGCTTCGGTGCTGGGGGCTCTTTGAAACTGTCGGTCACCTGGTTCCTAATAAAACCTCCTCAGACCTGAGCGGGGAGGAGAGGAGGGGCCGACCGGTGTTCAGGGGAAACGGGCTGTCGCAGCGGCACGAGGAGATCCGAACTTCACTTACCTTCATACGCAGAAGCACTCGGCCTATGACTGGCTCCTGTTTCCCCGGAGCAGGCCTTGCAGTTCGGCGGGACCGGAGGGAGGGAGGGTATCGGGGTTGCCATGTGCTGCGCAGGTGGCACCAGGCGGACACGCACCTGCTCTGGCTTCAGCAAGGACAGCGGTTTATTGAGGATGAAGTCAACACAAGGGGGGCAACAACTAAGTTGCCAGGATACAGGGAAGTAAATGAACTTCGGGGATGACTGAAGTCGTGCCTGGGACAGAGTCACATTCCATAGATAGTCACCGAGGCCTGGCCGGCGCGGCTCAGTGGCTGAGCGTCGACCTGCGAACCAGAAGGTTCGATTCCGGTCAGGGCACATGCCTGGGTTGCAGGCTTGATCCCCAGTGTGGGGCGTGCAGGAGGCAGCTGATCCATGATTCTCTCTCATCATTGATGTTTCCATCTCTCCCCCTCCCTTCCTCTCTGAGATCAATACAAACTTACTTTAAAAAAATAAAAATAAATTGTCACTGAATGAAAGAAAGAATCCACTAGGAAGTGGGCTGATGCTAAGCCTCTCTCCTTACAGACTCAGTTCCCAGCTGGGAGCAAGGACGGCCTCTGTAGGCTCACACCCTACAGCAAGCACGTCAAACTCGCGGCCCGTGGCCCTCACGCGGCCCACAACGAATATTTTTGTGGCCCAGCCAATATGATGGTAGGTAAGAAACATTTTAATAAAAATTTCGTAACTTAATCTTTACAATATCCTGTTATACATAATTATTAATAACAAACTACAACGTCCACTAATGACTGATGACTATCATCGTGTTGCATTCGTTTCCCTCACGCGCCTCACGCGCAGGCGCACCATTTCCCTCCACTGATACCAGCAGCGAATGTTCTAGCAGCCGATGGCCACGTCATTAGTCCTGGACTGACTTGTTTGGTGTGCGCAACAGGAAATATCCCGCTTTCGGAGAACAAAGAGGTTTATTTGCGTTACGCTTATTAATTTGTGCAGTTATGCAGTGTCTGGTAAGTTAATGTTCAAGAAAAAATATTAATTTTTATTAAAATGTTCTTTCTATGTTAACGACGACTCATTTATTTCAGCCCTTTGCATTCAGCATGTCTCTATCGCAATAAACCTACGTTGCTAGGAAAATGGAAGCTTTTGGTTTTTAGCGGCCGCATCCACGTCAGCCTTGTCCATCTGGCCCGTCCTAGCCTTGGAGTCTGACGCGCTTGCCCTCCAGCCTCTGCCTCCAGAGAGGACGGATGTCAGTCGCTCTCGGTTCCAGACGGGCGTTTATTTCAGCCCTTTGCATTCAGCATGTCTCTATCACAATAGACCTACGTTGCTATGAAAATGGAAGCTTTTGTTTTTTATTGGCCGCATCCACGTCAGCCTTGTCCATCTGGCCCGTCGTAGCCTTGGAGTCTGACGCACTTGCCCTCCAGCCTCTGCCTCCAGAGAGGACGATGTCAGTCGCTCTCGGTTCCTGACGGGAGGGCTCAGCAGGCACCTGCCGGGGCCTGGCGGGCGGCTGCCTCCTCTCTGCTGGGCCCGGCCATGTGGCCAGCACCCATCCCGTCACAGTCCCCCAGCGGCCACGGAGCCTTGGGGAGGGTGGGGCCTGCAGGGGGAGGGAGCAACTTGTGCAC